GCTTTGAGGAAACCAAATCATGTTTTTTCTTCTTCTTTTTTTTCTACCTGAAAATCAACTCTGAATTGTAACATACAAAACTTAATAAAACAAAAATATTATTGAATTTGAAAAGCTTTTAATTGCTTTTATTTATTTTAATGAACATGAAAAATATTGTCTGAAAGCAAAAGATATTTCGATGAAAAATGAATTTTTAAAACAATTATTTTTATTCATGAAATATTTTATTATTTTTACATTAAATGTTGTTAATTCTTCTAAAATTAGAGAAAAGTTTGTAGAATTTAACGAATGTTGTTATTAAGTAGACATATAATTACAGATTATAATTTCCAAATCTAACAAACAAACTAACGAACAACAGCATATATAAAAAAAAATATATAATTTGTGTTAATAAAACGACTGCAAATCAAATCTATGGAAGACCGGAAGTATCATGCGTGCAATAAAAAAAAACGTGGACTGAGTTAAATACTGAATTTTTAATACAATTATTTTTTTATTTCTTTAATTATAATAGATTTTTATATTTAAGTTGTTAAAATATTAATAAAGCCGCATTTAATTTCGTAAATGTCCTTTTGAGATAAATTTATTTTTGCGAAACACGTGTGAAGTTAATTTAATTTTTCAATTTCACCTGAGAAGTGTACCTACAAGTATCAGTATCATCTTATGAAATTTAAATTTGTATTTTATGTACACTTCTGATAAAATTACATAAAAAAAGGTAGCTATAAATTAATTAGATACCTTTCTTATGAAATTTAATCTCACTCTCAACAGTCTTATTTTAATTTCTTTATAAGTACAAAGAAAATTAGAGCACTGAAGGTTTCCTTAAAAATAACGAGGTAAATAATTTGTTCACTTAAATCTAAATAATTTCACTTCTCTGCTTCCGTAGAATAAATTATTCTCGCCTAAGCTATCACTACGTCATGAAAATGTCTTTTGTCACCTATCAAGTGACGCGAAATATTATGAATTGCTTTGTTTTATTTTCAAACTACATCTTTTCGACGCAGAAACTAAGTAATGCTTGATTCAAAATATTTTTAATGAATATTATAATTTCTGGTTTTTTAAAATGTGTTTTGAAAAAATTATAATTGATTTTTAAAAGATTTTAAAACTGAGATCTTCATTTTTTTTATAAAATAGAAAAAATGGTTAACACGATTGATTATCTGTCAATTTTGCTGACTAAAAAAAAACATGATTTTTAACGAAAATTAATATATATATATGTGTGTGTCGGGAATGGATTAAATCTGACATATTGTTACTTTTAATTTCTTTTGTTTAAACGTTATTTTTTATCGATACTCATAATCGAGTAGAAGCTTTGTTTTTTTTTAATTAAACAGTTTTTTTTGTTTTTTGTTTTTTTATCCAACTACGTCTACCTGCCTGAATATTCGAAAAATCTTGAAAGGAAAATATGTGTCTTCGGGCAGCATTTGAACATCCACTTCATTGGCCTGACGCGCCTAACCGTTCAGTTCGGTAGGAATTACGATCAAGCAAAACTCGAATGGTGCCTTTTGAACACACACACTTTTCTGATTCTCGAAATATCCATTTCTGCGCTGTATCTTGTCCTAGGGTAAACAAAAACGATTTATTTTTTAGGAAATGGATTAAATTTGACATATTGTTATTTTTAATTTATTTATTATTTTTTTTTTAATTAGACAGTATTTTTTATCAAACTACATCTATCTGGCTTCGAATAGGAATATAAGTGAATATAATCATAAATGGAAAAGCTTACATACATTTCAGCGACTACCAATATTTTTAAAAGAATTTTATATATTTTTGTGCGTATAAACGTGCCGGTTTTTGTAAATACAGATGTCCATATATGACATTATTAGAAAATAAGAGCTATAACTATAGTAAATTTAAAGCAAAATACATAAAATTCAGTAAAACATTACATTACGGAGAATATTTTCCTAATTTTTTAAATTAACTGAAGAGTTAAAAATTATATAAAATAGCGCTCACGTTGTATTCCTCAAGAAATTTTTACAGATATGTTTACCGTAGAAAAAAAATAGATAAACTTCTGTCTGTCAGTCAATTTATCAACCTGTCAACACCTTAAATAAACCTTACCGCCAAGTTAAAAATTAATTTCTGTGATATCTTAAACATAAGGTAAGTAATATTTGTTACAAATCAGATTAATTAAACTTTAAATTTGCTAATATTTTTCAAATAAAGTTTCAGAAAAGTATATTTTACTTTTGAAAGATTTTTTAATAGAGAGAATTACATTGTGCTGACAGATGACTAAAAATGGCTAAAATATCTCTTAAAACCGCCCTCCAGTCAATTTAAATTAGTTTTGAAATACAGCAAACTATTTTGCTTATTAAAAATATTAGAAATATTAATCTATCAGCTTGAAATTAAGACTAAAATAAAAGCTTCAAGAAACATTTTTCTTTTTAAAAATTTATTTTAAACCTTTGGTATCACGTTTCTTTCCAGGTTTCATATATATATATATATATATATATATATATATATATATATATATATATATATATATATAAATATATATGGAAAGCGACTGAGAGTGTCATTCTCCCTTTTCTCTGGTCTCTTATCTTCAATCATCGTGACATAAGTGATTGTTTTAAACAATTCTGCTCAGTGCTTCCAAAATCGCGTCTTTGGGACTCACCTCTTCTGTCTTTCGCCATTCTATCGGTCTGTCTGACTCAGTGTCGTGTAACTATTAAAGACTTCTTTTGTTTTTGGAAACGGGTCGCTTATCGGCCGAGCTCGTCTATCCCACCCTCGTCAGTCGCTATCAGAAATCCGTTAAATGAACAATGTCCACACAGGAAGGCCGTCCACAAACGCAAATCTGGTCTAGTTTAGGACCCTTCATCATTTTTCACTCAATTTTTCTTCATTGTTTCTTTTCTTTCTTTCTTTTTTCCTTCATTCGGAGCCAAAGAGGTTAAAAGAAGTCAAAATGGGAGGGCCCCGTTCTTTTCTTTCGATTGCTTTCGTTTCCGTTTGAAGTCGTACTGACAGTCTTTTTTGGCGTATTAGACGCTTTTTTTATCACTCCCACACTTGGAATATATAATGGGTTGTCTGCCTCGTGGTTGAAATAGTTATTGTGATTTTAGAAGTTGTACGATTGTTCAAGGCCAGAACTAGTAGATATGAAGTATGTAGCTACATTCCTTAGTTACACCTTCAAAGATACGATACATCATACAAATAATTTCCATACTCTTCATATTCTATAGTAAGAAGGAAGTTCTATTAACAAGCTACTTCCCAAGAACCACAACTATGGCAAATAGATCCCCAAGAAAATGTTTCACCGACAACTGCAATCTTAGCCACATAGTATAGTGAGAAGAAGAAAATTCCTTGAGCATGTAAGCCTTGGCTGCGAATTATTTGAGGTGGTCCTTGGATCTCCACTCTATAGCACACACTTCAGCTGACACGAAAACCAGGGCTTCACAGGCAGCTTGATGATGACAGTTTGCTTCGGCCGACTTGTTATTGTACGTAGAACGTCGCCTTGAGCGCCTACCCACTGGGCGTCGGATCGTGCTTAGTTTGGTCGCTTCCTTGAATCTTTACCCCAATGTTGGTGAGCCTAGTTAGCATCATGACTCGCCACCGACTTCGATGGGCTCGGACATCTTGTCTAAATGCCAGACATCCACCTACCGAGAAAATAATATTCTCAGAGCTCGCATCTGGCAAGAGACCACGTGTAGCTCCACCTCAATTCAAGGATCAGCTAAAAAAAAAAACACACACACACACACATTGCTAAGGACAGAAATCGATCTGGTCAATTAGGAGAAAGAACTATTTGGAGAAGAGCAGTTCACGAAAAAGCAACATCCTTCGAAGACATCAGAAGACAAATAGAAGAGACAAAGAGAATCCAAAGATTAGTCAGAGCTCTCCATTTCCTGGACCCTCTTACCATAGTGATTGTGAACGTTTCTTCAGATTCAACATAGTACTCATTTCAGACAGAAGGAAATGACGATAAGCACCCCAAATACTCGGCAAAGAATTCCGCCAACGACGACGTATCTTTCCAAACTTAACCCTATAAACTACACTTCATAGCTCGTCCTCTTTCTCTTACGTTCATACAACGTAAATCAGCAACCATCTACCTAGAGTAGCTCTTGGGTCTTCTATCGTTGTATTGCAGAAAAGAAAAGCAATATAAGATTCCAGGAATTCGAATATTGATTGTCAATCAGGAAAATTGGCGTATCGCAATGTTCATTGTCCGAATTCCTCGCATTTGGCTTTATCTGGTAATGAATTAAATTTACTTTAAGTCCATCCAAGTATTGCTCTAGTATTGATTATTATTCTCTTCGTTATAGAAAAATGTTTGAGCCAGTTACACTCTAAACATCTTCAGTTGTTGATCTTTGCGTTATTTTCTCCTGTGATGCCAATTCTTGTTCGTTCATGCTCAATCAATATATATTGTTTCACTCCCTGATACAGGGATTGAACTCACGACCACGAGATGACAGCAACAAATGTTTAACCCTATTCACGACGCAAACGAAGGACACCAGTTTTGTATTTTTAGAGCCTCTTATATTCAATGTCAGATATTTTCGACATTTGCTTATCATGGCGTAACGTAGCTTCCCTGTGCCTTTTCTATAAATATAGATATTTTATAAATATTTTCATGATAATTGTTCTAATTAGTACTTAGACTTTATGAATTTAAGAGCAATACATATATATTGGCGGCTAAAATTCGTAATTTTCCTGTTAAAATCGGCAGATGTAACCGTAATTTCTATGCTAACAGTTTCTTCTCTTGCACTTCTCACTTGTGGAACTCTTTTCCAGATTTTTGCTTTCCGGTCAAATTTGAACTTAAAAAGTTCAAATGCAATGTCAATCGTTATCTTCTGTCTTCCTAAATCCTGTTCTTGTATTATTCTGTCTTCTTAATAATGATTTCTTTTTCTCATATTTTTCCCGCCATTTCCTTCCTTTATTTTTCTCGCTTGTTTTTTTCCTCTCTTCTTCCCACTCATTTCATTCCTTTCTTCAGCCCCCCCCCCATTTTATATTATTATTATAATTATTATTATTATTATTATAATTATTATTCTCCTCCTCCTCCTTCTTCTTCATCTTCTATTTTTCTCTTTCATTTTCTTGTAATATTTCCCTCCTTCATTTGTTCTATTATCATCCACCATTTTCTTTTTTCGTTCCACTTCTTCACTCAAAAAAAGCCTTTCCTTCTTTCTGTTTTTCCTCATTTCAAAATCCTTTCTTCCAGTCTTCCTTCCGTCCTCCATTTCTTTTCTGCTTTCCTTCCTTTAAAATATAAAAATCCATTATTCTTTTCTTTCTCTCTTACTTTCTTCCATTTCACAATCTTTCTTTCTTTCTCTCCTATCTCATTTAAAAATTCTCCCTTCGTTTCTTTCTTTCTCCCTTCCTTCTGCATCCAAAATTCTTTATTTCCTGGGAAGGATTTTGAGATGAAGAAAGAAGCTGAGAATCCTTTTTTTTCTCCATCTCAAAGTCATTCGTTTGTTCCTTTTTTCGTTCGTTCGTTCCTTCCTTCCTTCCTTCATTCATACCTTCTTTCCTTCCTTCATCCTTTCTTTCATTTCTTCCTTCCTTCATTTCTTCATTCTTTCCTTCCTTCCTTCCTTCATTTCTTCATTCTTTCCTTCCTTCCTTTCTTCTTTCAAACGCCTGCCTATTTTTATTTCATGCCCCCCCCCTTGTATCTATTCGACCATTAATCTCCCCGTCCAACGCATATTTCCAGAATTTACTCATTATTTTCGGTCGCTTTTGATTTTCACTTGTTGCCTTTTAATCTTTCAATCTGTCTATCAATCAATAAGACTTTTTGCTTTTGGCTGACTCTCTGTCGGACTGGCTGCCTACTTTTTGGAAGTCTACATCCTTTTCAAGCCGTGCCCTTTACCCTACACACACACACACTCTCTCTGTCTCTGTCTCTCTCTCTGCCTCTCTCTCTCTCTCTCTGTCACTCTCTCTCTTTTATCTCTTTTTATTTCACACAAACATGTCTCACTTTCACTCCCCTCTGTCTCATTCTGTACGAAGGAAACTTTCACAAAATATAACACAACTTCAATTTTGGTATGTGTGCGCATGTGTGTGTGTGCTTGAGTGAAAAATGTCTAAGAATGTATGTTCGTGTCAATGTATACACAGGCACAGGCACGCAGAAACACACGAACACGCATATATATATATATATATATATATATATATATATATATATATATATATATATATATATATATATATATATTTTTCCACTCAAGCAAACTACTCCTGAAATATGCCCGTGAAAAATTATTTCGGTTGAGCTCTCCTGGGAGGATGTGTGGGTTTGTAAACAGTGACTATTACAGCTAATAATGCAAGACTCTTCGGTAAATCGAATCGAGTTCTCTCAGTCACTGTGTGTTTATCTAAAAATAAATACGCTTAAATTTACCTTCATCCCAGCTGAGAGCCAACGGCTTAGTGGTGGAATCCCCCGACTGATGTCAATTAAGTCGGGTTTCGATCCTACATAGAGGCAGCCGGATGTCTAGCTACACTGATGAGCTGTGACACAGCGAAAAATCTGTCTGTGGATGGCAATATATATATATATATATATATATATATACAGAATGTGAGAGAATGTGAAATTGGGTGGATATAGGAAAAAAACACAGCATGGTCAGTGTCAGTTTCCCGCCTCAAGCTAGAAATAGTCTGTATCTATAAAAATTCTATATGTGGCCTCCTTCTCTCCCCATATATATATATATATATATATATATATATATATATATATATATATATATATATATAACATTTTCAAATTTAGTTACTTGCCCAGGCGTTTGCATCGTGGCATTTAACTGCACAGTCCAACTTAGCGTTTTTCACTTTCACAGTTAACAAAATTTAACCTTCAGATGAAAGCAACAAATTTGATCTAAAAAACAACACCCTGATGATGAGATTGTGCTACTGTCAAAAGTACTTGAAATAAATGAATATGTATCAACATGGTAATTTTTTTTTTTAATGAGGATACTAACAAGCTTCACATTAACAATGATTACTTATGTGGGGTTCACAAAGTATGAAGCTGCACTGCACACACACACACATATATATATATATATATATATATATATATATATATATATATATATATATCATAGCTGGCCACACGTATACGAAGATACCCATCTATTAGGGCGGCTAGCCAATGCCTATTGCAGACACTTGCTCAGGCACATATGTGTTTTGTTTAGCATACTGCAACTATGCTGAGCAGAACTTTGTTACAGTTTCTGAGAGAGAGCGTGTTAACTAGCGTGATCAATAATTTGAACAAAAGGCCAGCACGCTCAAAACTCCTAGTCACGATGAATTGGGACTTCATGGTAGTGCAGCTATCGACAGCCCCCAATGGTTACGTCTACCGAATTTCACAAGACTTGGGTCAACCCGTGTCATGGTTTTCCAAAGGTTACCCAAGATAGGACCGCCTCCTCCAGTCCGATAACATCAGGAAGTCTCCTTCCTGACAAATCAACTATGGTGAGATTTGGACCCAGTCTCATGGTCAGAAAGCGACCGTTCTAACCACTATATATATATATATATATATATATATATATATATATATATATATATATATATATATATATATAAGTACAGAGTTGGTACACATGGAATAAATTTTCCAATAACCAAAAACACTATTCTTGAGAGAGTGTTCAATACTTAGTAAAGATAATAAGATTTATTCAAAATTTTTAAACATAGTCACTTGACAAGACACCAGAAGTGTCGGAATAAAATTTCAAATTTTGTAGTGATTTTATATGCATATTTTATAAATTTGAATATACACTGTAACACGGATATAAGAGACCCGGATATAAGAGAAACCCGGATATAAGAGAGATTTTCTCTGGTCCCAAATTAGAGCCTGTGTTAATGTATATAAAATAGACCAAACCCGGATATAAGAGATACCCGGATATAAGAGATACCCGGATATAAGAGATACCCGGATATAAGAGACTTCTTCTCCGGTCCCGACAACTCTATTATATCCGGGTTACACTGTATATATATATATATATATATATATATTCAAATTTATATATAGTGTTCAAAATATTAAAAGTGTTCTTGGTTATTCCTGTTTCACGCGCTTTTTACTAACGTTCGTGTAATGCTGATGTGGGAATTGTGATAAATATCAAATGCAATTATAGCATAAGATAGACAATTTAAAAATGTATAATGCTTTGCAATGTTCTCCTCTAAAAATCTTGAAGACTATTAGATTCCAAATCGCTTCGTTTAATTGCTACCTAATTAACTATTTACAAACGCAAACGACCTGAATAAAAAGAGGGTCAACGATAATTAGATTGAATTAATGTTTACATTGATTGCAATATTAATTAAACAATGCTTATGAGGCTAATTAAGATGATGTTTGTTTATTGTGTTAATATAGGTTTTGTTGCTTCAGATCAGTCGATGTTTTCACCAGTGTTTAGTCTCATGATAATGGTGGGAAACCCGGCGATAATAATACACAAAGAGTCACATTAGAAGAGTGTGTAGCGTTATAAATTTTAACTGCGATTGGATATCAATCGATATTTTTCACTAGTAGCATTAACCCTTCCAAAAAATGAAAAACGTGAACATTTAGCAGATATTTCTCAGCAATATTTCCTTGATTTTATTACCATAATTCAGTAATTCAAATACCAAGGACTCTTCTATTTCGAGACAAATGACAACGCATTATAAATTAGTAGAAAATACAATACAACGAATTTCTATTTTTATAAATATCAGCTATAGAATCGATTTCTATGATAAGAAAAAGTATACAGGTTAGATTCCTGTCGGAGGGCACAATTTTTTCTTCAGTCGGACCTTTCGTTCTAGGCCGATTCTCTGACGGATTTAGGAAAACGGGTAAAGGGTTTATTTCTTGACGGTAGGCACACACTTATTCAGTCAGACTTCTCAGTTTAGGTGAGTTGTTATTTCACAATTTAAGAAAAAAAAAAAAAACAAGGATATTAACTAAAACACGTGGACCCTCTAATATATATATATATATATATATATATTACAAAAAATGTTATTGGTCAGAGTTAAATCAAACCAGGATACTTTAGTATTAAAAAGGGCTCAATACACGTGGGAAAAAATAAAAAAAAAATAAATAAATAAAATGTAGAGCTTTTAACTTTAAAAATCAGGAGGTCAGTTGAATCCGTTACCTTGGTTTCAACACTACAATATCTTCAGGCGATTTTTTTATCAAATGACCTCTTAACACATTATTATTATTATTATTATTTTCAACTAATGAACGCTATCTTGTTATTTTCAAAAATAAAAAGAAAAGAAATAAAGAAAAAAAGAGAAGAAAAGCAAGAGTATTGTAAACGCATCGGTTGGCGGGTTAATTGAAATGTTTTTTTCTTTTTTTATCCAGACTCATATGTGCTTCAGAGGAATTTTCTAATATGTAAGCAAGGAATAAGACTTCGGATTTCTGATTTAAATGGTTCTTTGGATCCAAAGATGATATATATATATATATATATGAGTTTTTTATTAAAGCCTTAAGCCAATGAAATCTTGTCTACCATACTGACAACATTGGATTCTTGAAAATGACTGAGATGATTGAAAGTACACGAATAAAATGAAAACAGTCTAGCGACAATTTTTCATTTGGACGTACATACAATTATTCGAAAATTTAAAAAAATAAACAAATAGAAATGAAACAAACTGACCCTGTCGGTTGAATTTGAGAAGATTTTTTGAATGAACACTTGCTGCCTAAATATATTATATATGCAGGGTGCGATGGGTAAATTGTCGCCATTTTATTTTATTTTTTTTTAATTCGCGCATGCGCGTCATTTGTTTTTGATTTTGTTGACTGTTGAGTATAGTCTGGTCACTTGGGCAACGTCTGTGATAAAAAGAGCACCATGACGCAGTTCACTCCATCAGAAATTTGGAAATGGTATGATGTACTGCTTAGCATTTGCACCAGAAGCTCCATTACGAAAATTTCAGAGTGTTTGGGTGTAAATCTGAGGACAGTACAGAGGATTCGGAAAGAGTTGGATGAGTCTAATATTGATTCCGAAAGTATTTGGAGTGATCACAAGTGATGGCGACGTTATGCCTCCATTCATCTTCCCACAGGGCCTCAGACTCAACACAGAGGCCGACATCGGATGTAGCGCTGCGCTGAGTCAAGAGGGCGGCTGCTGGAAGACACTGTATCTGGCAACAGGACTCTGCATCATGCCACACATGCAGGAGTACCCAGTCATAACTGTCTGACTATTTCAGCGACCACATCACATATGTTCACCTAAATCACTAGATTGCAACTACCCTCATTATTATAAGTTGGGTGCAGTTGACCGAAAGGTCATCAAAACTCCTTGTAACGTTAACGCGGAACTGAAGGCATGGATTTTGGCAACATTCACCAACTTAAATAAGGAGACCAACCAGAAGAGATGCAAGAGATTCCAAAATCATCTGGAGGCGGTCGTTGAAACCAATGGCGATTTTATTGAATAAATTTACTCTTTGTTATTTCAAGATATTTTTATGTAATTTTGGTAAATGGGATGTTAGTGTTATTTTCATAACGCGAATGAGTCCAAACTTTTATTGTCGATAACTCCAAAAC